CTTGCACATTCTAGGCAAGCACTCTACCATTGAGCGACATCTCCAGTTCTCTCATTGGCTTATAGATGGTCATCTTCATGTTCATTTAGCATTCTCTCTGTGTGTATATCTATCTCCACATTTCCCCTTTGTATAAGGAAACACATTGTGATGATTTAGGGCCCACCCTGAATACTTCATTCTAACTTGACCTAAGCTGTAAATACCCTGTCTCCAAATAAGTTCACATTCTGTGGTGAGGGGTTATGATTTCAACATAAGAATTTGGAATAGGGGTACACAACCCATCTCTCTCTTTTCCCTCTCATCCCTCCTCCTCCTCCTTTTCTTCCTCCTCCTCCTCATCCTTTTCTCTTTCTCCCCCTTTTCTACACACATACACACACATTAGAAGAGAGTTCAGTAATTGATACATCTTTATTAGTCTCACAGGCATTTTAATCCATGGATTTAAATATTCATGAAGCCATCATTGCATCACATTTCTAGAAAGTAGTATTCCTGTCTTATCCTACCAAAGGCTTCACACCTTAGAGATAATAGAACCACCTCCTATCCTCCCCACTCTCTACCTGTTTCCAGATTCCTAGAAATGGTATTCCATCCTATTTATTTGGCTTCTCTTTTATAATAGAGGAATATGCCATATTTTAAAATGCATTTCAGAAAAAAACAATGAAATCCAAACAAAGTTTGAAATTTTGTAAATAATAATGTATACTGAATATTGGTTCATAGTGATCATACCATAATGACATAAGAGTTAACAATAGAGGAATCATTACACGTTATATTAAAAAGCAACAGTAATAAAAGAAGTGTGGTAGAAAAACAGAAATATAGACCATTAGGGCAGAATAGATACCCCAGAAATAAATCTGTTCATATATGGCCAACTAATTTTCACAAGAGCTCCAAGAATACACAATCGGGATAGGTCAGACCTTCAATAAATGGTGTTAGAAAAAATCAAAATACATGAAAAGGAAACAATCACCAAATGAAAAGAAAATCAACAGAGTGAGGGAAAATACTGGCAAATCATGTTTCTACTCAGTTTTTGAGTTGACCTTTTTAGATTCCACATGTAAAGGAGAACATACAGTATTTACTTTTCTGTGTTTGGATTATTTCACTTAGCAAAATTTCCTCCAGGTTCACCCATATTGTCCAAAAGGACAGGATTTTCTTCTTTTTAAGGCTGAATAATATTTCATTACATACATACACATACACACACACACACATATGCACATGTATCTCCTCTATCTAAGATAGATAAGGAACTCATGCAACTCAGTAAGAAACAAAATCAAATAACCCAATTAAAAAACAGGCAAAAGACCCAAATGGACATTTTTCTAGAGAAGATATACATATGGCCAACAGGTATATGAAAAAGTTTTCAACATCTCTATCATCAGGGAAATGCAAATCCAAACCACAATGAGATATCATTTCAAACTGTTAGAGTAAGTCAAATGATACTAAGAATTGGTGAGGATACAGAGAAAAAGGAACCCTTCTAAATTATTGATGTGAATTGATCTAGCTGTTATGAAACACTGTACTTAATTTTCCTCAAAAAATTAAAAATAGAATTGTCATGATACCCACTTGTGTGTGTGTGTGTGTGTGTGTGTGTGTGTGTGTAATGGTTATGTGTATTCTGGAGAAAATGAAATTAGAATTTAAAAAAATTATCTGCATCACCATGCTCAATGCACCGTTATTCACAATAGCCAACATATGGAAACAACTTATGTCAGTGGATGAAAGTACATAGAAAATGTGGGATGTGTGTGTGTGTGTGTGTGTGTATGTATGTATATATGTATGTAGTGAAATATTATTCAGCCTTAAAAAAAGAAAATCCTGTCCTTTTGGACAATATGGGTGAACCTAGAGGAAATTTTGCTAAGTGAAATAATCTATACACAGAAAAGTAAATACTGCATGTTCTCCTTTATATGTGGAATCTAAAAAAAAGGTGAACTCAGAAACTGAGTAGAAGGGAGATTATCAGGGGCAGGGATGGGGAAACAGAGAGATATTGGTCAAAATGTACAAACTTTCAGTTATGAGTAATTTCTGGAGATCTAATGCATAGCATGATGTCTATAGTTAATAATAGTATATACTTAAATCTACCAAGAATATATCTTTTTTCATTTCATACAAAAAGATAATTAAGTGATAGGTATGTTAACTTAATTGTGGTAATAATTTCACAGTCTATCAAAGCATCACACTTTAAAATATTAAGATTGTATAAATATATACAATTTTAATATGTCAATCTTACTTCAGTAAAGCTTGGAAAAATAAAAAAGGCTCAGGTTGTGGCTCAGCGGTAGAGCACTTGCCTAGCACATGCAATGTGTTGTGTTAAATCCTCAGCACCACATAAAAATAAATAAATAAAATAAAGTATTGTGTCCAACTACAACTAAAAAATTTTTTTTTAAAAAGAAAAACAACAGAGAAAACTGCGTGGGGTATATATGAGAATTCTTTGTATTATCTTTGTAGTTTTTCTGTAAACCTAAAACTAAAACTCTTCTAAAATAAAAAGGTTATTTAAGTAGGAAATTTATAATATAAAACAGTGTCTGGTACATATTAAACATTTCATGAATGTTGTGTTTAGAATAGTCATGTAAAGTATATTGTTTTTAAATGCCATTGCTTATACATTTTTGTATGAAAGAACACATTAGATATGGCCTCTAGAGGACAGTGTTGGGTCATAGAAAGATTTTTTAAATATCTGCCCAGGGACTTAGCATTTTCTTCCTACTCTTTAACTAAAAGCCCTGTTTATATTCATTGTCCCTCTTTTATTTTTTTATTTTCTTTTTATGGTACTAGGGATTGAACCCAGGAATGCTTTACCACTGAACTATATCCCCAGTCCTTTTTAGTTTTTATTTTGAGACGGGGTCTTGCTAAATTGCCCAGGCTAGCCTTGAACTTGCGATCTTCCTGCCTCAGTCTCCCAAGTTGCTGGAATTACAAGTGTGCACCATCCTACCCAGCTTCATTGTCCCTCTTTTTATAAAAGCTAAATGAGATGTATGCTTCTGTGCTACTCAGATTAATTGCAGATCTTCTTTTAAGTTAATATTTTTAATTAATTTTGGCTCCAAAAAAATCTATTAGGCAAGAATGACATGCAGAAGTTTCACTTTTGTGTTCAAATCACTGAGGGCTTGTTGTGAGAGAACCCAGGGAAGCAATATAAAGATATATTATGTGTCTTTTGTGAGTTCTCACATGATTGAGACAGAGTTATAGAAAAAGTAAAAATATTTTGTAAAATGACAAAGATAAAGAAGGGTTTTAGTTTTGTGAAGGTTGAGATTCCCTGCTACGTAGTGGTTTCTTAGGGGTTGGGGGGAAAGGAGGGAAGTCATTGCTCTAGCTTTTGGAGCAAAATTCTGGTTAGAAACTCAACATTATAATTTTAAGATTATTGCTCTGTAGGTAATCCCATGAGACTGACATTTTGTCTTTAAGAAGCTCCTGTGGCTGGGAGTTGCAGAGTGCTACTGAAGCACATCAGAGCCATATGAACACTAATTTACACAATGCTCACCTTGGTCCTATAGGCAGCTGGAGATAATTATTTATGTGTTGATGGACTGAGAAATTCTGAAACATTGTCATTAGATGGGTTAAATTTTTGCTGATAGTGGAGTCTGAGGGCTTTATTCACACTAGGTGCAAATCTAGTATAAACATTTAAAAAATAGTTGTCATTTGAATGACAGTGTGTTCCACTTAGCATCAACATATAGATTTCTTATTTTTTCCTCAAACAGTAAATTGTGAAAAGTCTCATCTGCTGATGTGGGCTCTAAGAGCCTTTTAATAGGATTTTTGAAAGGGAGTGGAAAATTTATAGCTCCTCATAAATAGCCTGACATGAAAGTTAAAGTCAGTCAGTGCTTTGTTTAGCCACTCCATCAGAGTTGAATCCATGAGCAGGGATCTGTTTCTTTCTCATCTAATCATGCTTCTTTCTCAAGAATATTGTTCTCATAATTTAGTTCTGTTAATCATGTAGGGATCTAGTAAATATAATGATTTGAGATGTGATTGTGTTCTTGAGGTAATTATTGGCCCCTAATCTGGTCCCTTATTCCATTCCTTGTCTCAGGGAAAGGCAACACTTTATCCCACTTGTGCAGGCCAGAATCCAGGGATTCATTCTGGACTCCTCTCTTTTTCTTATCCTTAGCCATACGGGTGCAGCACCAGGCCTATCACTTTTATTTCTTGCATTTCTTGTAACCATCCACTTCCCTCTGCATGGCCACCACTCTAATCTCAACCTTCATTGTATCTGCTTAAATCAACTAAAGAAGCCACCTCGCCTATAACCAGTGTGATCTTTCAGAACACATCTATGAGGACATCAGTGATTTTTCATTGTTCCTAGGACATTCCTGAATGATAAGGCACTGCAAGGTCTGGTCCCTGTATCTCTTACCAGCCTCACCTTGAAACATCCTCCTTGCTGCTCCCTGTGCTCAGCCTTATGGCCTCTGATGCATCACCTCAAGAGTCCCAGAGCCTCCAGTTTTGTTTTTTTTTTTCCCCATGGCATTTCTTTCCTGCTGTCTTTGAATTCTCATGAATGACTTCCCTGATTCCCTGGTCTAGAAAATTTCCTTTCTTATATGTTCCTATAGACCTGAGTTACATCATTGTGCTTGAATGTATTTATAATTAGGCACTCATCGTGTGGGTTTTTTGATTAATATATGTCTCCCCTAGTAGAATACTAGCTCTTATATATATAGAGAGATTTCTTATTTTTTGCTCAAACAGTAAATTGTGAAACGTCTCATCATATCCAAATCCCTAGCACTTGGGCAAGAGTACTTGAAAAAAAGTAGTTGCTCAATACATTTGTTGAATTAATAAATGTCTATATTGTTACTGCATGTTAGGTAGAAGAAGAAATAAATATCTATATTGTTATTGCATGCTAGGTAGAAGAAGAAGAACCCACTGGATATATTCGATATGAAAAATTTCTTCCAGTGATGACCAAAGTACTTCTGGAAAGAAGGTAAGAAAGTAAAAACAATTTTAAGGCAAGGTAATGATTAGAATTACATTAATTTCAGTATATGTGACTGTTTTATATTTTTCTCAACCAGAGTATCTCAGGGTAGCTTCCTTCTAACCTTTCAGTATACTTCTGAATGAACAGTTTGTTTGTGCTTAGAAATATCAATCACCATAATATTATTTGAAGCAAAGTATAACCAAAGGGCAAAGAAGCTATAAAAATCATAAATTGATATTCTAATTATCTTCTGTTTTGAATAATCGATCATAAATAAGAATTAATCCTGATTATTTTTTAGCAAAATTTAACATAATGTAAAACTTACAAAGTTGGTTGACTTGTAGAAGTTTTGTTTCTAGGGAAATTGAATTCCATAATGATTAAACAAACAAACAAACTGATAGATAACACCAGATATGTCAGTGATTTTGAGCTAAGTATTTCCTGTCAGGGTAAAGTACTGGACACTTTCATACCCAGAAATCCAAGAAGGTTTCAGTGAGGGAAGTTTTATTATCCCAGTATGTTAGCAACTTTCATTTTGTTTCATGTAGTAATTTATTATGTAGAGATGAGACAAACAATCTGGCATTAACTCATTTTATGGCATAATTATAGGTATAGACCAATTCCAGAAGATGTCCTTCTTCGAGCTTTTGAGGTGTGTAAGCTCTAGATTATTCATATATAAATATGAAAATTTTGTCATGTAGAACTTAGTCATACATATAAAATCTACCATTTCCCCTAGGTTTTAGATTCTGCTAAACGTGGGTTTCTTACTAAGGAAGAACTCATCAAATATATGACTGAAGAAGGTAAGATTGTTTTATTACTTATAACATGATTTATGTAAGGGATTAATGATTTTTAACAGTTATGCAAAAGTTATAGGGGATACTTTAAAATCAGTCATTCTGGTTAGAAAGAGTTTACTATTCCCATTATTTTGATTTTTGGAATGGTCTTTATTTTATTTTATTGGGTGTTAAGAGAACAAAGGTAAGGTAAGGCGAGACGGATGTTGCCTCAGAGGATTTTGTATAACCTCTATAAATTGTAATCACTTCACTCAGTATTTTGAGAATAAAAGGTATGTCACCTGGAAAACTTGAACTGTCCGTCACTATAAATCAGTGCCTTTACTGATAGAAGATTTGAATTGGAGTATATAAAAATTCTTTTTTCAAGAGCTTTTCTAGGGGCTGGGGTTATGGCTCAGCAGTAGATAGCTCGCCTAGCACACCGTTCGATCCTTAGCACTACCTAAAAATAAAATAAAGGTATTGTGTACAACTACAACTAAAACAAAATATAGGGGAAAAAAAGAGCTTTTCTGGGTACAGTTATGGATAATATAGCCTCAACTGAATATGAATTCATATAAAATTTTATTTTTATATATAAAAGCTTATTATATGTACATATATGTATGTGTATATGTGTATGTATGTATGTGTGTGTGTGTGTGTGTGTATACACACACACACACACACACACATATGGGCTTTGAACATAGACTACACACATGTACACAAAACATAATTTGTTTAGAATGTCTCTCTGCCAGTGTGTAAATTGGTTTCCCATGAATGTCAACAGCCTGATAGACAGTCTCTGGAAACCATTGTCATATTGCTTGTCTCCCCTGCTCCCACATAAAGCTGAGTTTTGTCTCCTTTGTTCATTTCACTGGTTCACAGATAAGTCCTGAATGATTCAGAGTCATTAATCACTTGAGACAAGATCAAAAGTAGGAGTAATTTTGAGTAGGGAAGACTAAGACATTGTCTACATGCACAACTGGTTTGACCATTTTGACTTGATCCACCATTAGGTAAGAATACAGGAAGTGAGAGTAAGAATAACATGAAAATCACAGCTGCCATTCAAGAACTCCTATGACATTGCTAAAATCATCTTAGGGATTAACTTTGATGAGAAYGTTGTGACTTTCAAAGCATTAGCCTCTTAATCCTAAGGATTAAAGGAAGTAAATCCTACATTATATTAGGCAACATGAATTTAGTCAGAATGGCCAAAACAGTTCAATTTAAATAATATCCTGTGTCTATTATATGTTCAGTATTATTAAGTGCAGTGAGGGGTAATGATACTAAAATCTGCTTCCTTTCTCAAGGATATTACAATCTTATTGGGGAAACAAAGCTAACTTATTAAGTCACAATATAAGATAGTAGGAAAATATCAGAAGATCAGTACAGTCTAGAACAGTCTAGAAAGCTTGGCTTGAGAAGATTTAAAGAGAAAATAAGTTCCTTGAGAAGGTAGAATTTACATGGATGAGTTGTTGAGGCCAGTGATAAAATCTTATGCATTATGGTACCCTCACATATAGTAGGTCTCAAATTAATTATAAAAAATTAACTATGAATTAATGAATGAATGAGTAATTGAATAAAAATGGATGAAGGTTGATGAGAGGGAAACATTATCAGCAAAATATGGAGCAAAAACTGGGAGGCAAGAATGCATGTGGCATTTGGAAGCCTGAGAAAGGACAGGCTGAGCTGGCCCAAAGGGTCTTGTTGGAAAACAATAGGAGATTAATTTAGATTGATTGTCTGGGACTAAATTATGGAGGTCTGGGTTCAGAAGTTTGGGATTTATCCTGTGGAAAATTGCAGAAGTGTTCTGGGGTTTTGAGGAGATGAGTCATATAGTGCAAGAGCCATTGTGGGAAAGTTATTCTGGTGCTGGTAGGTTTGTTAGATAAGTGAGAAAGAGGTTAGACTAGGAAGATCAGTTAGAGAACTATTTTGGTATTTTGAAGGTCCCCTAATAAGTGCCTGACTTGACAATGGGAATAGAAAGAAGGAATAGGTGCAATGCAATAGGCCTATCTATAGCAGGATCCATGGGTCATGATGAATAACAAAAGACAGGGGACCAAGATGGGAATTAAGTAAAAAATAAAAAGATTTTGACCGGGGTGATGGGTGTTATGGTAATACTACTGACTGAAATAGGAAAATCAGGAACTGCAATGTATACAGACACAGTGCAATTGTGTGGTTTACTTGGGAGGTTTACTTGGATGGATAATAGCATGCTTTTGAACCTCTGGACTGTCATGATGTACTGACTCTGTGGCTCCAGGGAAAATAACTGTGACATGGGGTGGGGTTACTCCATGGCAATTTCCAAAAAGATGGATTTACAGAGAATTAATAATACTTCAAGGTCAACTATACTAAGCATTGAATAGTAATTTTTAGATAAGAATATACATGATTTCAATTTTTCATTGAATAAATATTATTCAGTATTCTTCTTATTACATGACCTAATATGTTTGATAGTGATATATAAGATATAAAGTACTACACAAATGTAAGGAATTATTATTTTTTTTAAATATTTATTTTTTAGGTGTAGATGGACACAACACAATGCCTTTATTTATTTTTTTTTATGTGGTGCTGAGGATTAAACCTGGGTCCCGCCCGTGCTAGGTGAGCGCTGTACCACTGAGCCACAATCCCAGCCCAGRAATTATTTTTATTAAATATAACAGACATCTAAGTGTAATAACATTTAACTATAAAATAGTTGGTTAATAATTACTGATTTTTATAAAATACCCCCAATAGGGTCTAGGGAACACCTGAAATGAAATAAAGTTGTCATTGTTGTCATTATCATCTTCTTCTGAAACAATTAAAAAGAAAAAAAATGGTGCTTTGAGATTCTCAAAATTCTAAATTGTTTTGAAGTACATCTATGCTTTATAACTATAGATTAACATTACTGGCACAACTTTTCACAGTATCCACAGAACATCAAACACATTTCATTTACAAACACGTTTGAGAATATGCATTCTAAATACTCAAGAAGTGATATGATAGACATTATAAATCACATTGAATCAAGTTCCTACAAGATAGATGTCCACATATGTTCAGGAATGTRTATTCTACCAGATAATATTTAGCAGCAAAGAAATCTCAAAAGAAAAAAAATGCTTACATGTTACTCCTTGTGTGTTAGGTACTGTTCTAAGTGCTAAAAAATAACATATTTAATTCTCATTATTATTATTATCTTCATTTTATAGACAGGGAAATTGAGGCATAGAGAGATTGAGTAACATGCCCAAGATCTTAAAGCTGTAGGAAATAGCAGTATTTGAACCCAGGCACATCTTTATCAAATACTGTTTATCTCTTGCCTTGCCCAAGAAAGCATCATGACTATCTTTTGTATTTTACTGTGAGCAGGACCTTGTTCTAAGCAGTGGAAAGTGGTAGTTGAACTTATAGATCATGAACTGGACTGCTGGTATTCAGATCCCAATTTCCCCACTCACTTGCTGAAGCAGACTGCCTTGTTTCTCTCTCTCTCTCTCTCTCTCTCTCTCTCTCTCTCTCTCTCTCTCTGTGTGTGTGTGTGTGTGTGTGTGGTAAGTGGTGTTTGGGAAATTAATTTAGTTTAATATGTGTGAGGTGTTTGGGAAATTAATTTAGTTTAATATGTGTGAACCGCTTAGATCAATGCTTGGCATACGTAGCGCTCAATAAATGTTGGTTGGTAATATTCTTTTAAGAACTTACATCAGAGTTCCTTTGGTATTGGATTTAGTATTAACAGTCAGGTTTAGGAAAGATTCAGAAATTGTTTTTAATATTTTAGGCATTCTTTCTTTCTTAGGATGTAAGCATGATTTCACAAGAACTCTACACATTTCTCTCGTTTCCTAGTACTATCTTCATTGTCACCAAAATCTCCACTTGAAGCTGGGTGTGATTGCATGATCCTGTAATCCTAGCAATTTGGGAGGCTGAGGCAAGAGAATTGCAAGTTCAAGGCTAGCCTTGGCAAGRCCCTGTCTCAAAAAATAAAAAGGGTTAGGTATGTAGCTCAGTTGTAAAGTGCCCCTGGATTTAATCCCCAGTACCCAAACAAAATCAAAACAAAACAAAAATCCCTATTTGAATGGTTTATGTATTACTAACTGAATTCCAATTTAAAAAGTATTGTTTATGGTGGCAGGTGACTTAACCTCATTAGGTAAGTAATGCTCAGGCCTTGGTAAACTAGTTACTTTGATAAGTCTCTGATGAGTCTTATCATAGTCTAAGATGGTGATCTGGATGTTCTTATATTTCTCTTTAATGTTGGGACAAAGTCCCATCTTTGTTACAGACCATGGTCTTCTCAACATTCTTTCTTAAGTGTGCTTCTCATCTTGGTGAATCATTTTCCAAGATGATTCTCAGCTGTTATCTGAATCCAACTGAAACCCACAGACTTTCTATCCAACTTTTTATTTCATCTGATACCATTACTTGGCCAAACTGTAACAAGGAGGAGTTTTCAAACAGTTGATGAGTGCCATCTCTCACTGAGTTCAGCTGGCATCACTAAGTTGGCCAGACAGGTTAGGAAATGTTCAGCGATATAATTGTTAAGTTTCAAGTGTCTGTCATTTGCCCTTCAGCAATTTTGTATGATAAACATTTAATCATCTCCATATTTTACTAAACATAGTGATTAGACTTCTTATTAAGAGTRGGGCTTCGGATTAATACTTTTGCAGTTTCAATCATTTTAATTTAAATAAATAAACAACTTTGTTCATGATGCCTTTATGTCCTCTTGCCGTTTTGGCTGAAATGATGGATTCTATAGAGTGCTTGGTCCATGACACCTGCAAGGTAAAGTAAGTCCACAACCTGCTAGGGTGTATAATAGCAAGCTTTCGAACCTCTGGACTGTCATGATCTACTGACTCTGTGGCTCCAGGGAAAATAACTGTGACAYGGGGTGGGATTACTCCATGGCAATTAAACTGGCTAATAGAGAGAAAAAGAAATAAATCAGACAATTGTGAATAATAAATTTCCCTTCTTGTCTCTTTCAGGTGAGCCTTTCTCCCAAGAAGAAATGGAAGAAATGTTGTCTGCTGCAATCGATCCAGATTCAAATTCAATTAATTACAAGGAGTATATAACAATGATGGTGATAGATGAAAATTAAATGTTTTAAACCCTTAATTTCTAATTGAAAAGATAGTTTGAAAATGGCTTGTCCTTATTARTTTTGCATTTTATTTTGTAATTCTTTTATCTGATATCAATGCCTGTGACATGATTATTTCAACATATTTTCTTTTCTAAAGATGATCATAACAAAAACTCTTTTTTAGTACTGGGAATGGAATCCACTGAGCTTCATCCCTAACTCTTTTTACATTTTTTCATTTTGAGACAGGGACTCACCAACAGGCTGGCCTCAAATTGCAATTGTCTTGCCTCAGACTTCAGAGTAGCTGGGATCATAGGTGTGCCCTGCTCATCTGGATGATCATAATAATTTTAAACAGACTTATGGAATGACATACTGCTAATTACTTAAAAACTAATCTTAAAACAGTTTAACATTAAAATATATTATTGTTTATTTTCTACAATAAGCATGTTACCTTTTAATTAACTAAACTGAGAAAATTAATAATAACTATAATGAGCCAAGGTTTGGCATATAAAGGTCTTGAAAGAGGGCAGAATGACCACAAATTGAAAATGAGTATCAGTGTAATGAAGGCTTCTTTTTAAAGAACAATGAACACTTCAGTAATCTGAATGTGAAAGGTGACTTATTGAAATCACTATTAATAATTGATTCTTTTTTATTAAATTATTTATGTATTCTGATTTGTTATATATGACGGCAGAATGTAATTCATTTCATATTACATATATAGAGCACAATTTTTCAAGTCACTGGTTGTACACAAAGTATTTTCACACCATTCATGTCTTCATACATGTACTTAGGGTAATGATGTCTAACTCATTCCACCGTCTTTCCTACCCCCATGCCCCCTTTCTTCCCCTCCCTCCCCTTTGTCCTATCTAAAGTTCCTCCATTCCTCCCATGCTCCCCCCACCATCACCATTATGGGTCAGCATCCTCATATCAAAGAAAACATTTGGCCTTTGGTTTTTTGGGATTGGCTTACTTCACTTAGCATTTTATTCTCTAACTCCATCCATTATCTGCAAATGCCATGATTTTATTYGCTTTTAATGCTGAGTAACATTCCATTGTATATTTACCAAAGTTTCCCTATCCATTTATCTACAGAAGTCATCTGGGTTGGTTCCACAGTTTAGCTATTGTGAATTGTGCTGCTATAAACATTGATGTGGGTGTGTCTCTGTCATATGCTGTTTTTAAGTCCTTTGGGTGAAAACTGAGGAGTGGGATAGCTGGGTCAAATGGTGGTTCCATTCCAAGTTTTCTAAGGATTCTCCATATTGCTTTCCTATTGGCTACACCTATTTGCAGTCCCACCAGCAATGTATGAGTGTGCTTTTCTCCCCACATCCTCACCAACACTTACTGTTGTTTGTATTCTTAATAGCTGCCATTCTGACTGGAGTGAGATGAAATCTTAGAGTAGTTTTGATTTGCAATTCTCTAATTGCTAGAGGTGTTGAACATTTTTTCATGTATTTTTTCATTGATTGTGTATCCTCTTCTGAGAAGTGTCTGTTCAGTTCCTTGGCCCATTTATTGATAGGGTTATTTATTTTTTTGGTGTTAAAATTTTTGAGTGCTTTATGTATCCTATAGATTAGTGCTCTATCTGATGTGYTTGTGGTAAAGATTTGCTCCCATTCTGTAGGTTCTCTACTCACCTCACTGATTGTTTCTTTTGCTGAGAAGAAGTTTTTTAGTTTGAATCCATCCCATTTATTGATTCTTGGTTTTATTTCTTGTGCTGTAGGAGTCTTATTAAGGAAGTTGGGGCCTAATCTGACATGATGAAGATTTGGGCTTACTTTTTCTTCTATTAGGCGCTGGGTCTCTGGTTTAATTCCTAGGTCTTTATCCACTTTGAGTTGAATTTTGTGCATGATGAGAGATAGGGGCTTAATTTCATTTTGTTGTGTATGGGTTTCCAGTTTTCCCAGCACCATTTGTTGAAGGAGGTTATCCTTTCTCCAATATATGTTTTTGGTGCCTTTGTCTAATATGAGATAACTGTAATTATGTGAGTTTGTCTCTATGTCCTCTATTCTGGTACCATTGGTCAACAAATCTATTTTGATGCCAATACCATGCTGTTTTTGTTATTATTGCTCTGTAGTATAGTTTCAGGTCTGGTATAGTGATGCCACCTGCTTCACTCTTCTTGCTAAGGATTGCTTTATCTGTTCTGGGTCTCTTATTTTTCTAGRTAATTTTCATGATTGCTTTTTCTGTTTATATGAGGAATGTCATTGGGATTTTGATTGAAGTTGCATTGAATCTGTATAGTGCTTTTGATAATATGATTACTTTGGCAATATTAATTCTGCCTATCCAAGAACAAGGAAGATCTTTCCATCTTCTAAGGTCTTCTTTAATTTCTTTCTTTAGTGTTCTGTAGTTTTCATTATAGAGGTCTTTCACCTCTTTCATTAAATTGATTCCCAAGTTTTTAATTTTTTTTTTGAGGCTATTCTCAATGGGGTAGTTTTCCTAGTTTCTCCTTCAGAGGATTTATTACTGATGTACAGAAATGCCTTTGATTTATGGGTGTTGATTTTATATTCTTCTACTTTCTGAATTTACTTATTAGTTCTAGAGGATGTCTGGTGGAATTTTTGGGGCTTTCTAGGTATAGAATCATATCGTCTGCCAATTGTGATAATTTGAGTTCTTCTTTTCCTATTCGTATCCCTTTAATTTTTTTCGTCTAATTGCTTTGGCTAAAATTTCCATGACTGTGTTTAACAGAAATGGCTAAAGAGAGCATCACTCTCTTGTTCCAGTTTTTAGAGGGAATGCTTTCAATTTTTCTCTATTTAGAATGATGTTGGCCTGGGGTTTAGCATAGATAGCTTTTATAGTGTTGAAACAAAAGAAACAATTGAAAAAATTGACAAAACAAAAAGTTGAGTATTTGAAAAAATAAAAAAAACTGAGAAACCATTAGCCATGCTGATGAAGAGAAGGAGAAAGAAAACTCAAATTACTAACATCCGTAATGAAAAAGGAAATATCATGATGGAACACTACAGAAATACAGAAAATAATTAGAAATTAATTTGAAAATTTGTACTCCAATAAAATAGAAGATATCAAGGACATTGACAAATTTCTAGAGTCATATGATATGCCCAAAATAAATCAGGGTGATATACACATTTTAAACAGATCAATTCAAGCAAGGAAATAGAGGACGCCATCAGAAGCCTACCAACCAAGAAAAGCCCAGGACCGGATGGATACACAGCTGAGTTCTACAAGACCTTTAAAGAAGAACTAACACCAATATTYCTCAAACTATTTCATGAAATAGAAAAAGAGGGAACACTTTCAAAGACATTCTATGAGGCCATTATCACCCGGATTCCAAAACCAGACAAAGACACATCAAAGAAAGAAAACTTCAGATCAATATCTCTAATGAACAACATAGATGCAAAAATTCTCAATAAAATTCTGACAAATCAAATACAAAAACATATGAAAAAGATACTACACCACGATCAATTGGGGTTCATTCCAGGGATTCGAGGTTGATTCAACATATGGAAATCAATATGTGTAATTCATTGCATCAATAGACTTAAATAAAAATTATATGTTCATCTCAATAGATGCAGAGTAAACATTTGACAAAATACAGCACCCCTTGATGTTCAAAATACTAGAAAAACTAGGGATAGGGGCTGGGGTTGTGGCTCAGAGGTAGATCGATTACCTGGCAAGTGTGAGGCACTGGGTTCGATCCTCAGCACCACATAAATATAAAAATATTGTGTCCCCCTATAACTAAAAAATATTAAAAAAACTGGGGGATATTAGGAACATATCTCAACATTGTAATAATTGATTCTTTATGACTACCAATTCCAAATCTCATTTGAGATTATGATAATTTGTGTGGAAATTTAAATTTGTTCACCCAGCATTGTTACYATTTATAGAATAGCTCAAGGAGTTAAATTAATTCAATCTATAGAAGACTAGATGCAAAGCGATAATGTAAGGTAGAAGCAATTTCTCCCTTGGTCTTTAGAATTCTCACCTATACAAAATATCTGTCATGGGACTATTGTTCTGAAGGCTGAATGTATTAGTCAACTTTTTGTTACAATAACAAAATACCTGAGATAGAGTAACTATGTAAGAAAGAGGTTTATTTTATTTTATTTTATTTATTWTTTTTTTTTAAATATTTATTTTTAAATTTTCGGCGGACACAACATCTTTGTTGGTATGTGGTGCTGAGGATCGAACCCAGGCCGCATRCATGCCAGGCGAGCGCGCTACCGCTTGAGCCACATCCCCAGCCCCGAAAGAGGTTTATTTTAGCTCACAGTTTTAGAGGTYCAAAGTCCAAATAACATTGCACAGGTTCAGCAAGGGCCAGCACTTGGATGCATTGCTGTCATGATGCAGATAGCAGGGGCAAGAGTACATATTGGAGAAAGCAGTACATCTCAAACCAAGAGCAGAGAGAGAGAGAGGGTCCAGGCTTGCTCCTTTTATAACAACCCTTTCACAAGAACTACCTTCGAAGAGCAGAACCTCCTGCAAGGCCTCACTTCCTAAGGGCTCCATCACCTCCCTATAGCATCACCCTGGGGACCTAACTGCCAATACATGAACCCTTAGGTGTGGGGGGGACACATACAATGAAACCATATCCAAACCATACTACTGAATAAGAATATTTAGAAATTTTATGATGTGCAAGAAGTATAGCTGTTAAAACAGCAGAATAAAGTTATCTGAGCACAAGAAGTCACAATGGAAAAATACACAGGGATTTACAAGTAAAAAAGAAAATAAGATAAAGGAAAATGAACGATACTCCACAATCTATGTGTTCTTTCATAATAATAACTATTAGATACACAGGACTGTCCATTTAAAGATGGCTTCACCACTGCTATAGTTTGGATCTGGAATGTTTCCCAAAGGCCCATGTGTTAAAGCCCCAGAGTGGTGCTATTGGAAGATGATTGAACCTTTAGAGGAAGTAGATCGTAGTGGGAGGTCTCAGGTCACTGAGGGTGTGCTCTCAAAGGAGATAGAATCTATCCCCTTCCCCTTCTTTTTTTCTCGGCTGCCACAGGATKAGAAGCTTCCTCTGTCATGTTCTGCCACCATGTTGTGCAACCTCACCACTGGCTCAAAAGCAATAGGGCCAACTGACCACAGACTGA